TAGGTAAAATAAATGAGGACAGATGGAAAGAGAAAAGAATGATCTAAAAGTATCAAGGGAAAAGCTGTGCAAAAAAGGTTTTACACTTCATAGAACATTCAATACTTGTGGATCAATAATACGCCCAACTATTAACAATGAATCTCATCCATACATGAGACATTAAAAGATACCAAAAACACCTGGCAAGTCTAACTCGATTTAGTCAAATGTGAATTAGCTGCAATGTCAGACATTCAAACCTAGTCAATAACATGGGTCATGACTCGCAAGCAACATGACAACCAAGTCGCATAATTAATTGTTGAGGAAACAATCAAATTAACCAAAACAACTATTAAAAAAAAGTTCAGTGCAATCAATCCATTAAACCTCCTTGCTCTACTTAGCCGAAATACTCAACAAGTATCCAACTAGAATGATCATCTACGCTGATCAAAATCAAAGTACGGAAAATGGCAACTAGCTAGAGATATTCTTAATCCATGTGATTATACAATGACTGTGTTTCCTAGTTGTCAATGGTGTATCAATTCATTCAATGAAGCAACAACCTATTGAAATAGAGATCGACCCATGTCCTTGGAAATTGAATAAATCTTATCAAGCATGAAAAACCCCTCACATTTAGTGGAATTTTTAAAAATTTTATTTTTATTTCTCCTTGAGCCGAAGGTTGCAACTGAGAGGCTCATGAATACCTAAACATGGGGAGCTTGTCATTTCCACTCTTTTCTTCAATCGCTAGACTGTTTTAGAGAGAGAGAGAGGCTCTAGCATGGTGGGAGGTGGCCCTAGGTCACCTCTTTTCCACTCCAATGGCAAAGGTAGGAGAAATGCATCATCAGGAAATTATTGGAAGGTGTTAGAGGATGGAAACCCCACACTTGGCAAGTTCGATGGATGCTGTAGCCATTTGGATAGGGGCGGCCAAGTCATGCCTCCTCCAAGAATGGAAGTTCTCAAGGAAAATCGCAAGGCAGGATTTGGAGTCGTTCCTCTGAGAAGGGTTGTAGGACCATTCAATTTCAGTCAATGCATGTATTTGGGTTGCACAGATATGTATCAATTTTAACTAACGAGTCTACTCTGCAGCAGGCAAGTTGAGCCCTTTCAGCTTTAGTAAAGCTAGTTGGGAGAGGGAGAAGCCTATTCACATCAAGAGAGTTGGAGAGGACCACTCCTCCCCTCTGTTGAATGTCGAACACGTCCAAGCTGTTGTTGCTACAATGGAGCATACGCATGCTACCGCAACTGATGGTGGCGATCGGTGAAGTTGTTGGCTGTTTTGTTGGCTGTTTTAGTGAAGTTGTTGGCTGTTTTTGTTGGCTGTTTTTGGTGAAGTCATTTTGTTGGAGTCAAAAGTTTGTAAGTCGTTTTATTATATAAAGTTGTGTTTTATAGTATTTGTGTTCTTTTAAGTATTTTATGTCTTTCTATCATCCTAGAAAGACGTTTGTTTTTTGTGATCAAAAATTTGGGTCCCTCTCCCAAATTTTTGATTGCATCAAAAGTCCTTTGCTGCCAAGCATAGCACACCGCATGAGACCCTCGTGCCTGTGGATGCTGCGAAGCAGTACGGACCCCATGCCAAAACAATTGAGTGCGAATTGCAGCAGGGATCAGATGCTGGTATGCAAAAGAGTGAAGATCAAAACCCAATGGAACTTAATCACATTTTTTTTTTTGCATGGAGCTCACGCACAATATGGTGCAACTATTGGCTATTGCGAGCAGCTCATGGACAACAGCCAACAGATAGTGCCCGACCAGCTTGGCGAACTGAACATGGATCAACAGGAGTGTGAAACTATGCTGGACGAATCCTGCGAGAATGCAGAAATTGAAAGCCCCATCACCCATTGCTTGGTTAGTGATGATACAATGGAATTAAATGTCAATGGAGACGTTTCTTGCAGTTGTATAAATCCCCCTATTACAACCAGCAATGATCATAAACATTCAGGTCTATGAAGTTGTTTGACAAAATGCCCAACGGGATCATAACAATGTTAATGGCCAATTTCAGCTTGCTAGCTAGCCCTTTTCTTACTCTCATGCAACAAAAAATACTCCCAGCAAGCTGGCTACGTGGAAGATGCCTCAATTCAATCCATTAGAGAAGATCACCAAGGATGAGGTGCTGGCAAATGATGGTATTTCAGTTTGTCTAAAACTTGATTCAGTGCAAAAAAAAATACATTCACAAGTTGGAGAGAGCATTAGTTGGCAAGTTCATAGGCAAACGAATCCCAAATTTACTTCTCCACAATAAGCTAAAGAAGAGATGGTCCCATTTGGGAGAGTTCCAATCAATTTTTGTTGCACCCAATTGTTTCATTTGTCTCTTTGACAATGTTGAAGCCAGATATGTCGTCCTAATGGGAGGCCCTTGGACAACGTCTAGATATATAGTTGGACAATCTCTAGATATATAGTTGTCCTTAATAAATGGTCCCCATCATTTTCTCCCAACTTTTTGCATTGATTAAATTCACCAATTTGGATTTAGTTTCCACAATTGTCTCTTATGTATTTGGATAGTTTAAATATTGCTCGCATTGTCGCGATGTTTAGAGAACCGTTATGGAATGATTCTCCGACAAGTTAATGGAGTAGATGTGCATATGTAAGAGTTTGAGTCGGAGTTGACCTAGCACAAAGACTACAACAAAGACCAAGGGTGTAAACGAGTCAATCCGAGCTCAAGTCAACCCTAGCTTGAGCTTAAGCTTGATTAATTACTAGAGCTCGAGCTCTAGCCCAAACTTTAATCTACAAGTTTGAGCCGGCTCACAAGCGGGCTCATTTATTATAAAAGAGATAAAATGATTATGACTTAAGCAATTATTACAATAAAATAGTAAAAAAAATGAGAATTTATAAGAAAATTAATAAAAAATAACTTAGAATCAGAAATTGAAATATAATTATTAAATATTTTTAACAACTTTGTACTTTAAATCCTAAATCCTAATATTTTAACTATATTTTATATTAATGTTGTTTTAAACAAGTCGGTACACGAGCTAACGTTTAGAGTCAGGGTTGGCTGAAGTTTAGCTTGTTAGCTCATCGAGTTCAGCTCAGAAGCCATTTATTGAGTCAAGCCTGAGCCGGCTCACAGGTTAGTTTGACTCACTTACACCCCTAGCCAAGAGTTTGGATTATGGGTTTCTTGGCAATTTTTTTCAAAAAGTGGAGTATGAGGGCCTCTCTCAAATATACTTCAATTATGGTTTCATTGGGCATAAGATGGACATATGCCCAGCCAAAAAACAGCCCCAAGCTGCCCCCATGCAGCCTCAACAACAATCCACTCTCCAAATACATCCAGGAGATGATAAATTTTGCTGCCATTGCTCCCAAACAACCCTTAATTCTGGAAAGTAGTAGTTCTGATCCCAGAGCTCAGCCACCAACTACAACAGCACCTCTCCATAGTGCAGAATTCTCATCCAATCAGCAGCAAGCCGCTCTTTACTCCCATTCTCCTCAGTGCAATGTTGATGGCAGCCCTCCAATTCTCAAAGGGGCAATGCAAAGTGAGGTTTCTCAGCTGCGATAAGGAACTCCTTGGGCCATGTATTCTTGTTGCCAATCGCCGAAATGAAAAGCCACAGCCTCAAGCTGTCAAGGAAGTTGTCATTACCCGACAAGATTGCACTCACAACATGGACAATGGGGGAAAGATCAAGCCTGATAGTGACAGCCCACTACAGATTTTTTTTTCTGAGAAAGTCAAGCAAATGGAGAACTTTTCCAATAGAATTTTGAATCTTACAAAGCAACGGCGGACAATTTCATAAGCCTATTTTCAGAAAGAGTTGCTACAACTTGGACCGATTTCCACCGTGCCTAAAAAGAGGAAGAATGCACAAAACAACTTCATTGGTGGGGATGTGATCCCCTCATATGCGCAATGATGTGTTCCTCTCATGTCATTTGCAATGCGTGCCTGCCATGCCACAATAATCTAGGCCTCTGCCAGAGCACTGTGATACTACTCGGTCTTCTAGGTTGTTTCAAACCCTTTCGGGGTATCCCCCCTCCTCTCGTGCGGTTTTTTGTTGGTGTCCAATACAATTACATTATGGACCTCATCTTGCCAGCTGAGGGGCCATTGGTTTTATCTCTTTTTGGTTGTATTTTTTTATAGTTGTTTTTGTGTATAAATGGATACATAATATGATAATATAGAAGTCTTCACCCTTTTTGCTTTAATTTGTTGAGGGAGGTATCATGTAAGGGGCTCCAAACTAGTTTGTATTCTCTTGTACTTTTTATGCTTTTTTAATTAATGCAAATGCAACTTTTAAAGAATACCTAAACAAATGTAATCAGAAGCACTTTTTTGATCCCCTAAAATCCTAGAGAGATCCCTTAGATCTATGTACACTTTTTGAGACCCTCCATCAAACGAAGGGACCTTTAATAAAGAAACAAGACTTCCAATCTATACTCTCCTCTCCCTAATCTTCTCTTTACAATGTATTATTCCCCATCAATCTATTACTCAAGAGTCAGTCTTGGTGTTCACAAAACGGTCAGGAAGGGCTAATGATCATAATGAGGATTGAGTACATATATATACATGTTGCATGGAACAGTAAGAAGTTCCAAATGCTTTCATAAACAGAAGTATCAGAGTCGCATGAGCATGTCTTCATGACTGTTATTCATCCAAACTCCCCACATCCAATAAATTCCCGATTCAATTAAGAAAAGACGCGCAGTACCAAGAAGAGCTTTACTGTTCAATTAGCGGTTACTTATTAATTCTCTTGACACAAAAAGGGACCTCTCAGCCAATAACAATATATATATATATATATATATATATATATATATATGTAAAAATTAATCAGCGCTTTATTGAAATTATAACAAGAAAACTATACACATGGCAGTTTGGAGCTGAAAATATAAAGAATGGATAATTAATTTTTAATATAGACAAACAAGTCATGCAAAAAAAATAAGGCACAGAAAAAACCCACCTTCCTCGCTGCGAGCTCTCAATGGGGGCCTCGAGCGGCAGACCTCGCCACCAGCTCCCAAATCCGACGCAAGAACCGGCCTTTTCAACGCCTCCATTGATCTCCCCCTCGAAAGAAATCCCACGCATGTACACCTCCTCCCAGCCCGCCGCCGATCTAACGGTAAAATATACGGTCGAGATGTGGACGGACCAGCGGCACCCACATACGGCGCAGAAATCCTTCCCCCAAGGTAAGATCCGGCGAGTGGAGGCGTCGCCGATAGCAAAAGAATCGCCTTGAAAGAATCCAAAGAGGCTGTATAAGTAGTCATGGAGACAGCTCAATAACGGCACATGGACACGCTCAAGCCCTAACCCTATTTCTGACGAGGAAGCAATTGACTACAGAGACCAGTGTGGGAATCAACAAAACGGAAGCCTATGGGCTGCCAAGTATTTATAGGGCAGCAGTGCTTCTTTAGAGACTAGAGAGCAATAGCGAATTTGAGTAACGAATGCTTCCGCTTCGTTTCTAATGAATGAGAAGAGCAAGTGATAAAAATAGGGCAAGTGGCGCTGAAGAGCCAGGCTTAGTCGTCTTATTGAGCCGACTCTACGAATCAAATTTTGACACGTGAAGTGCGCACTATCGTACACGTGTCTGATAGCCTAGGAAAAGGTGAACACTGCGGATAAGAGTACATCCTGCTTTTTTCCAAAAAAAAAAAATTTGGAGAACCATTCTTCTAATATCGGTTGATATAATTATTTTAAAAAAGGTAAAACTAATAAATAAATTGATATTTTAAAAAATACTTAATCAAATAAAAATCAAACATCCTTGTCCAATAGATCACAATATTCGGTTATTTCTCAATAAAAAAATTATTTCATAAATTTAGCCGTTAGAGTTATTGTATATCAAAACATTCCCAAAAAGATACTAAATTATTAATTTTATATGAAGATCCGGCACAGGTATAGATAAAAGAGGAAAACAATGAGAATTGATCCAATTAAAATAATTTCAATGGTATGTTAGTAGTTGTAAATTCTCTTCCCCGTGATAGGGTTAGAAGAGACATGTGGCATGAGAGTTACCTTTAATAGATTGTTTATTGTGTGCTTGTTTATTCTATGTTGAGAATGGGAGACAAGAGACTAATAAATCATGCATAAACATTGATGTTGATATTGAAAGTTAAACTTAGAGTCAATGTCAAACATCAATTTTATAGGTGATGATGTATGTTGATGTTATTGGTGAGGACTAATGAAAGTCAGTGGGTGGCAATGTAGTTGGAAAATTTTGGTCGAGCAACAATATTAAAAAGGTAAAAAAAACATCGTCAAGTGATGGTATCAATATATCATAGTCAGTTGATGATAGTCTAGGGATTGTAATCAAGCCATAATTGTTGGGGACCATGATTGAATGAAAGTGGTATGATGGCAGCAATCAAAATGGTCAAATGACAACTGTTAAGCTGTGGTTTGCTGAAGTTTATCAAACTATCATGGTCCAATAGAGATGGTTGGGCAATGGCCCAAGTGCTATAATGGTGGTGCTTAGGCGACCCCTAAGATTTTTCAAGTGTGAGCTCTCTTGATTCTCCAACCGAGGTATTATTCCTCTTCAGATAAAGTTTGGTCTATTTATAGTTTTCAAGGGTTTCATGCTCTATAAATTTACCCAAATTGTATAACGCTTCATTGGTTTGCATGCATTAATTATGTCAGAATTAAGCAAATTTATGCTTGTTGGATTTACCATGTCGAGGCTCTTGTGATTTTTCTGCAATGGTCGTCTAATTAATATCATAGTTTTTCTAATTATATTCAAGTACTTCATCTGGATTCGTTCAATGCTCTAGTTGAATCACTCTTTATATTGATAGGTTTGGTTTGTCAAGACATTCAATTTAACTCCAATTTGATGAAACCAAAGTATGAATGATTCTGAATTTGATGCTATATGTTTTCAATTCAAATATATATAGAGATTCATGCTCGGTTGCATTATTTTTAATGGCAAAACAAGTACAAATAATGAGTAGCATTTCTTATATTTTTTTATCAATTTTACAGTATCATTTCTTCATGCTGTAAATAGTCTGTAAAGGCTTCTTTGCCTACTTATGTGCTAAAGGACAAACACATTTAGTGCAATATCCAAAGAGGATGACCTTTGGGGTTTGAGTATGTCAATTTGACTGAACCACTATTATTATGTGTGGAATCTGATTGTGTTGATTAATCTGGTTATAGTGTTTTCTCGGACCTCAAAGCTTATCGTGTTCATTAGGGGTGCAGGGGGTTTACCCCTTGCTTGGGTTTCATAGAATGCCTGGTGCTATGTACCCGAGCATCACTGTGTTACATACCCGAGCGCCTCAACGCTGAATGACAGAGAGCAGAGCACCGCAACGGTATAGATATAACACTACAGCTGTGCAAGATAGAGACTTGAGCATTGCATCGCCCCAAACTAGCGCTCAGCACTGCAAGACAGACTGGATGGTTTTCTTTCACATTTTTATAAAGGGTTGCATCCTTTGGGGTTATTTTACTTGGTTTTTTCTTCTATTTTGAGTATGTAGACATTGAGAAAGATGTATGTGAGAAGAGAATCAAGGGGAGAGTGAGAGAGGAGATAGATATGTACTTATTTCTCCCAATTTTTATAGTGAATTTCTTGATGTGGTGTGGCTCCATATAAAGGTATGCATTAACTTCTTACTAAAGGAAAGATTCATGGTTTAAAATCTATTGACATGTTAAGATTGTGTACATATCAAGAAACATAGGGTGAGTTTTTCAAATACTGGTTTGAATGTCAAGTCAAAGAAGTTAAAGTTAATGTATATATATGTATGGGGTCTTGCTCCATTTACTTAAATAAGAGGATCTTTGTATTTTGTCACATTTATTGATGATCACAGCAAGAAGGTATTTGTAACTTCTTAACACACAAGTCAGATGTGTTTGATGTTTTTAAGAAGTGAAAGGCCATGGTTGAGCTTGAGACTTGTCTCAAGCACAAGTGTCTCATATCTAATAATGGTGGCGAGTATCGTGATAAGAATTTTAAGAAGTATTGTGCTTTGAATGAGACCAGGTATTAGTTTACTGTTCCAAGAACACCACAGCATAAATAGTATTTCATAACACATAAATAGAACTATTACTAAGCGTGTCACAAGTATGAGATTACATACTAGTCTACCCAAGCAGTTCTGAGCAGAGGCAATGAATATTACAGTTTATATGATCAATCATGGCCTTTCAGTTCCTCTAAATGAGGGGTACCTTATGAAGCATGGAGTGGAAAGGAGGTTAGTATATCTAACCTCAAAGTTTTCTATTGTTCATCATATGCTCATGTTGATGTAGGGTAGGAGTATGTTTGATCCAAAATCTATCAAGTGCATATTTATTGGATATGACTTAGATGAATTTGATTACGAATGCTGGGATTATCAGAATCAGAAATTCATCAAAAGCAAATATGTTAAATTCAATGAAAGTGAAATGCATGATGATAGAAATGGGACCCTTGAAGATTCTTCCAAATATGATGATCAAGAAGATAAAGTTGTTGAAGCATAGAGAGTATCTTAGACTCATGATACTGAAATTAGGATATCAAGCAAAATCTCAAGGCCACTATAAGGGCATTCTCCTTCCTTGTACTATCTATTGATGACAGATAGTGGTGAACCAAAGTGTTATGATGAGTCATTTAAGTTGATGATTTAAATAAGTGGGAACAAGCCATGGATGATGAGATGAGTTCACTTGAGTTGAATCAGACATGGGAGTTGACATAGCTATTAGATGGCAAGAGAGAACCGCATAATAAGTGAGTTTATAGGCTAAAAGAAGAACCTGATAGTAGCAAGCGCTATAAGCCCAAGATTGTACTTAAAGGTTTTCAACATAAGGGATGAGTGTAATTCATTGAAATTTTTTTCTCAACTGGTGAATATGACTATAATCAGAGTTGTAATGATCATGGTAGCTATAGAGGATTTATATCTAGATCATAAGGATATAAATATAGCATTTCTTCATGGTGACCTTGACAAAGAGTTATATATGATGCAACATCATATATATATGGTCACAGGTAATTGAGTCTTGGTGTGTAGACTCATGAGGAGCTTATACGAGCTAAAGCAAGCACCAAGACAGTGGTATAAGAGATTTGATAGGTTTATGTTAGATAATGGGTACACAAAGTGCGAGGCATACTACTATTATTTTTTCAAATATTTTGATAACTATTAAATTATTTTTTTTATGTGGATGACAAACTAGTTGTATGTTCAGATATGGAGAAGATAAAATGCCTGAAAAAAATAGTTATCAAATGAGTTTGAGATGAAAGGTCTGGGTCTAGTAAAGAAAATTCTTGGTATGATAATCTATAATGATAGAAGTGCATATATATTGAAGTTATCTTAGCTAGAGTATGTTGAAAAGTTGCTTCACATATTCAACATGAGTGAGGTAAAGCCAATTTGCACTCCCTTCGATATTCACTTTTAGTTATCCAAGGAACAACCACTTAAATCTGAAGCATAGAAAGAACAGATGAAGAAGATTTCATATACTTAAACAGTTGAAAGTATGATGTATGCTATGATCTACATAAAATATGATATAACATATGAAGTGGGAGTTGTCAGTAGATTTATGAGTAACCCAGGCAAACTTAATTCATTGGGAGGCGATTAAGTAGATTCTCATGTACTTGATAGGATTAGTTGACAAAGCTCTTTACTTTAGTGGTGCAGGGATTGATGTACAAGGCTATGTAGATTCTGATATTGCTGGAGACCTTGATGGTAGGAGAAGCATAATAGGTTATATCTTCACTTTAGGAAAGACAACAGTTAGTTGGGTTTTCAAGTTACAAAAAATTATTTCGCTCTCAACTATATAAGTAGAGTACATTTCTATCACTGAGACTAACAAGGAGATGATTTGGTTGTAAAGTTTCTTGATAGAACTTGGCAAGGGATAAATAAATGGAAAGCTATATAGTGACAACATGAGTGTTATAATTCTAGCCAAGAATATTGTATTTTATACTATGACGAAGTGCATCCAGCTTCGGTATCATTTCATAGGTCACTTCTAAGGAGAAGATACACACAATCATGAATTCTATAGACAAGCTAACGAAGATGGTGACAATTTATAAACTGAAGCTATATGTAACTTCAGTAATTGGTTTTCATGAAGGATGAAAGCAGGGGTGGGCCATAATGCTGGTATAATAATTGGTGTTACAAATCAAGAGAAAGATTGATTGTAATCAATTACAAGTGGGAGATTGCTATGTGCGAAATTTGATTGTATTGATCAATTTGGTTATTCTATTATCTTGGACCTCCAAATCTTGTTGTGTTCGATAGGGGGGAGGGGTACCCCTTTGCTTAGGATCCATACAGTGCCCCAATGCTATGTACATGAGTGCCCCGTTATTATATACATGAGAGTCTTAGTGCTGAACGATAGAGCATAGAACGTCACAACGGTATATATACAAGGTGCAAG